ACTAACTAACTAGTTAACTTTCTTCAATATCAGTTTTTATGTTCCATTACAGCGCATAACTGGTGGAGGAACAACTATTGCGTTACTGCCTGGATTTTCTTGTGGATTCATCTCTTATTCAATAATCGAGTATATTTGCTTTACTTTTTGTTAAATGTGAGTTAGTTTATTTGTTGGTGATTTCTGTTATACTAGTTATTTGCGCACACAAGCAATGTTGGTTTAACAACTATAGGATGTGAAGCACACGAAAATTCAAACCCATAAATAAATAAATGTAATTAAAATAAAGAAATAGTTAATATAAAATATCAGAATGGCAGAAACTCAGAAAAAATAGTGGACATCTTGAAACTCACAGAACTACTAAAGCAAAAGTTTGTCGAGTTCATCAAGCTGCAATTAGTAATTTATCTATTTTTCGCTTTGTACATTTTGGAATCATTCTGAAAAATTTTAAACTTTCCAGAAATATATATAAGTATATTATGACGCTGTTGGAGATGAATATTAAGAATTTTCGATTTTGGATGACGAACGAATGAAAAATTCTGAGACCTAATTTGTTTAACGGAACTTAAAAGAGTTGCAAAAGTTTAGAATAAGAGTGACAACGTTGAAATTTGCAACACTAATCAACCACATTGAATCTATTTAAGTAAGCACGATTCAGTTTTCAGTCGACATTTCAATTTAGCTGATACGTTTTTGAAAAAATCGCAGCACAAAAGTAAGCAGTTGTCCGACTTGTCTAGAAAGAAACTGAGGAAAGATGCGAAAACCCTGATAATTTCCAGGGTTATAGAGATAGATTTCCGCTATTTGAATAGTGTGCAGAACACTGCAAATTCTCAATTTTATCTGACAAATCAATGAAAAAATTCTGAGACCTGGTTTGGGTTATTTTGAAAGTTGGAAAACATTCCGATTCCAGAGTAGCGCATTAAAACATTGGCAAACATTCAGGAAAAACAGTACAACGTTTAAAATTGTTGCAATAATAAGAGCGTTGTCTATTTAATCAACTTGAAATTAGTTTTCTGTGTATTTTCCAATTTAAATTTATATTTTTAAACCGCATCACAACGTGGTCGAGGATAATGAGTATTCTGAGGTGACTGAAAAACTTCGCATGCAATTGCTAAACACTGTTGCAAATAACTGAAAATTCCCAGAATTTTACACACATATGTCCACTAGATATTAAATAAAGTGAAAAAAAAAATTAAATTTTGTTTAAAGCATTTTTCAAATTTATTTTAAAAAATCAGGTTTCCTTGACAAATTCTGAAAAATATCCAAAATGTTGAAAATTGCGACAATGATAGACCAACATTTTGTCTATTTAATGACGTTAATTTCAGCCATTTGTCTATTTTTAACTTAAAATAATACAGTTCTGAATATATCGTGGCACAATATAATCGAAAACCAATAGAACCCCTAAGTCAATTGAAACATTCGTCAAAAATTGACGAAAATCTGCAACTTTTGTATGTCACTAATACAAATAACAAAGACGATATCATTAGCAGATAATGAAGCAACCAGTGCATACTTACATCTTTAAAACCTTTATTTAAATATTTCGAGTAGGGTTTTGATGTGAGCTGAATGTTCGTTATTTGCCACGTTCTTATTGAAAATTAATTTTCCCATTTAATAGAATTTCGCTTTCTGATACTATACCTTAGAATTACTATTATAAAAATAAGAATACTTCAAAGAAAAGACCAGATTAGTTGAAAAGAAGTTTTTATTTGTTTCCAAGATGTTTTTAATTCCTTGGCATGAATTTCGTGAATTAAAGATGCTGCTTTCAAAATGTTTCGTTCTGTTATTGTTCAAAACTCAGTTCTGCCAATAGAAAAAATAAGTATATTAGTAGCATTTTACCGACGTATAAAGCCAGGCCATTTTAATAAAATTGACCAATGTTCGACTATAACTTACATTTCAGTGCAATACCTAATTACAACTCGCAACAAATGCACCTCGCTATACGCTTTTCACTTTCTTCTTGTATCTTATTTGTTTTAATTAGTTATATATTGCATTCGCTCATGCAGTCTATGACGCAATATATGAAATCTCCTATTAAACGAATTAACATGTGAAAAATCCGTTCTACTAATATTCTCAATATAATAAAATATAAATTATTTGTATGCAATTATTACAGTACAATCGCACTATTCTTTTGATTATTAAACTCAAAATTCTACTTATATCACACTCGGCGTTTGATACGATCGAAGTGGTGTTCTCTAGAGCAAAACGTAAATTACTTATAATGTAATAACTCGAAATAGGACACTGCATTTCGCATGTAAACACGTAAGAAGAAGAAATTCAACTCGCTGATCGGTAATCCTTTCTTAACTTATAAAACAGCGTAATTGCTTATGATGATAAAAAGTACTGAATGTAGCGTGAAAATTTTTAGTACAACAACGTTAATTAGTATCAATTTACTTTATGGAATGCCGTATTAATTACTTGGGGTTCTTAGCAATCTTCAGTTTTTATATTATATTTAATACGTTTGACATAGCATTAAGAATCAATTGAAAAACACTACCTATTAAATTAGTAAACGTTTATTAATTGTTCTTAGTATTGCCTTATTGTAATTTTTGTTCTTTTTATCACCATAAGATATCAAACAGAACTTCACATGAAAATGGCTTGTGCCCTGGAGGACGAAGCTGCAATATATTAATTAACCAAATACTGCTACTACTACTACTACACAAAATAAATCAAAATAATAATAATAAGTTAAAAATAACTAATAAATTTAAATTGTAACAAAAATATAATGGCCCTATCTAAAATTTTGAAAAAAATCAATAACTTTTTATATAAATTGGGCAAGTCTTAATGAATGAGTGTCATTAATTTAAGTAATAGTATTTCGCATTTAACTACTTTTGTTGAAACATGCTGAACATTACATAGTTTTGATTTTCATTAAACTCTTAAAAATTGTTTTCAAATCTTATCCAATACCTTTAGCTGCAATAATTCTGTATTATAACTCTGTGATATACACAGAGCTTGTCTAACTTGATTATACGATTGATTTTAAAAGTGAAAATAAATGTAAAATATGTAGAGCACAAACGTTTTTGTTAAAATTTGTGAGTTACAAACTAAAGAAGCTTTACTAAGCGAAATTATAAACCGATTGCTGTATTTTCCGTTCAATTAATTTGGCTTTGTCTGCAGAAACCACCGATATAAATTTTAGAATAACTTGAAAATGAAAAATATGGTGTGCCATATTGTTGCGCAGAAAACAAGAAGCTTGTTCGTAATAATCTGGGAAGCACGTATTTTTTTATTTTTTTAATAATAGTTTCTCTTTCCTTTTCTTGTTTTTACTACATTACCTCTTTCTTCTCCCGCCAAATAATTCATATAAGTTTTGAGTTAAAACCTGGTCAGAACTCATATTTCCAAAAATTCCAACTTTTCGCCTTTATTTGAAAATAAAAAGTATTTCAACTACATGCACATATAGTAAGAATCGATTTAAACTGCATTCCAAAATTTTCCATAAATAAATTAATGGTCCATATTCACTAATGAACAAGAACTGCTTTAAACCGTATTGATTTAGCTGCTCTACTTTTAGATAAATTAGCTGTTTTCACTTTTTTTTTAATGCGAAACCGTCTGTTTCTAGAGTGAACAGGTATATTTATATGTCGTTTCATAACGACGCACAAATTTCGCCTATATTAAATAGGCGAAAATTACAATATATTTTTATGATATTTTGTACATAAAATATCTTCAAGTTTCGTTCTAACACATCGTATTCATTTTACGCTTGTAGCGCCAGAGTTTTGCTCTATTAATTATGCTCACTAGACAGAGAGTTATTCATGTGCCTACAAATTTTAAAAATGTTTAAACTGACTCGGAATCAAGATACATTGTCCACTTTTAATGCAGGTGAGCTACTTTTAAAACTTTCAAAGCCATATTTCTCCTCTAATTTCAGACTAAACTACTTGTTTCACTTACAAACTTAAACTAAAACTTAAATCGGTCTAAATTGCGAAATATACACAGGAATAACATGTTTTTTTTGTGCAAGAGAACTCTTGTCTGTTTTTGTGTTTTTCCTCAATTGTTTGTAGTATTTGAATCTTGGGGAGAAAATGTGCCCCTACCCTAAAATATTTTCTATAAATTGATTTAACTAATTGATCCTAAGGCTAATTTTTCTATATCTTGCTAGGTTTTATAACTGTGCCTTGTTTTTTAAGACCAGACATTCGGCTTGCATCAACTGCTCCAGCTTCAGTTAAATTTCAATTTCTTTGTTGAATTGAAGTTGGCTGTTCAAGATCCAACAAGAAAAAATGGATTTATTGATGCTTTTTAAGAGAATCGTTTTTACACTCAACATGATCGTTTTTCGACCTTTATAGGATTTTTCACATGTGACATAAGATAAATTCCACGGGAATTCCAAAATTACCTCTCAGTGGACCCAGGTGCTAATGAGTAAAAGCGCCAAAAATTTTACAGCATAATTATGCAAACAAGTTGACTCCAATTAAAAATATATCTGACTATAGTTGTTGAAACCTAAATGAAATGCTGTAATTGGGACAAATTTTCCAGCAAATGTTATACTTTGCCATAAGAATTAATAAAATAATTATTTGCCAGCAGTGTTACTTTAATGTTTAAAGGAAAAAAACATTCATTAAATATTCAAATACGATAATCTGGAGTTTAAATTGAAATTAAAAAAATTCGAGTTTTTCAATTTTTTTACTTTCATTGCAATTATAAAACAATTTGCAAATTTTCAACTGTTATACACCTGAACAGTCAAGACAGCTGCTTTTCAATAGCCCATAATAAAACTTTATTTCTGGTTAAAATTCAAATAAGTGGTACTAATAGCTTACAGTAGTAGTTCCATATATGTTCATCATTTTCATAATGAAAGAGTAATATCTCTTGAATTTACATACCAATAAATTTGAATATCAAATGGGCCCCATCACTCAACTGGATCGATACATCACAGGTTTTTAATTCAATTTTGTTGTGCACATACACAGCACCCACGGATTAACTGACACAACCACACGGTAAAACTAAAATATCCCAACAATAATAATTATTCAAATATGTCAGTACCTTGATCAGCAGAAATGATCGCAATAATAGAAAACGAACTGAGCAATAAATTATGAATATAATTAATGTCAATTAGAGGAAAATCACTAGTTGTCCCCTTTGCCGGTACCACCGCAAAACAAATTAAATGCGGCACTATCCAATAGAAACACGGAATTTTCGTTGTCTTGACAACTGCGACGCCAAAGGTACTCCGAACTAGATGCATCAGCTGGACAACGTTGTCGGCCGTCCAACTGAATGAAAGAAGAGACAATCATTAATAATAATTCGTCGGGGAATTCCGATAGTAGGAATCTGTGCGAATGCAGGAATTGTGCGTACCGGCTAGAGAAGAGTACCAAACTGCATTTGTTAAGGTATCGGAGACACCAATCAGTGGTAATTTTAGAAAGGGGAGGTGGGGAATGGGTCACTTGTGGGGTGAATATATGCCGAGGTTTTCACCTAAATGCTCATTGCAAATTATAGGTAACCAGGTGAAAGTACCATCTATTGTCCTTATTCTTCTGCACTGCTGAGGAAATGTCACCAAGAATCATTGGCCGTTAGGAAACGTTTCATGCTCATCATTCAATTAAAACGGTAATTGATATTCTTTGAAAAAGTGCAGTAGTTTAATGGGTGGTGTATTTACATGCCTTGGAAAAAATTACCGCTACCTACCTTGCCCTGGAATATCCAAGTTTTGATAGAGAGCCACTTAAATAACCTAGAATTTCGAAGTAACACGTCACCACCAAAAGAGTTTTTTGCCTATCATGTGATTTTCCGAAAAAATATGTTATTTTACGCTTAGGTTGATATGAATTGTATTATCACAAGCGAAAAAAAAGCGACATTTTAACTTAGACTATTATGAAACGGAGGCTAAACGTCACAATAATGTTTCTGCTAGCGCCCCATTATCCTTTTTCAAAATCTAAACAGAACCAGATGAAATTTGTCACTGATATCGAGACCCAAACATATAATTTGAAATGTTGGAAGGTATGCAGATAGAGAAAGTTGTCAAAGTTTGCATTTTTTTAGAAAGAAAATCTTTAGAGAAAGAACTTTACAACGCATCACGGGAGCTCCAAAGAGTGTTCAAAAAGTATGTTTCTGAAACGTATAGAAATAAAAATCTAGCGATAAGGACCGTTTTAATCAATTGTCGACTGATTCAAACTTTCTCAAAGTTGAAAAGCCTCAAAGCGTTGTTTCCGACAAAAATGTTTTACAATGTAAGTAGAGTTTCGTGCGTTGGAGGCTTTCCATTCTTTGTTAAATATTAATCTGCAATAGTTGATCATAGTTGACATAGGAAATGAGCGTGATGGGGATTTTTTTAATTATGTGTCTGAAATAGTCAAAAATAGGGGAGCTAGAAGAAAGGACCATCTTGATCAATTAATTTACTTTTGGATAAACTTGCTGTATAAGTGATTAAAATTAATTTATCAAGTAGCAGGTAAAAAATACATTACATAGATTTATTTGACATCACAATTTTTCTTGATTTGTTGTGCTTAGAGGTCACGAATTTTATTAATAGTAAAGTTGAACTATATGAACAAATACTGTGAAGTTATAGAAAATAAAATAACTCACGTGAAAACATGAAATGAATTAATTGAATAATTTTAATATCTACTCACTCAATCTAGCAGCGATAGGAACGAAAAGACTTGTAATACGACTAAATGTGAAGTGTAAAGGACTGAAGAAAAAATCAACACTCCTCATTTAAGAGAAACCTTTTCTTAAATTTTGTATCGTTCAGACTCTTAACAGGACCTTGTTCTATTTATCTGTGGTTTTCGATTAGTTAGATTTTTAAATATGTTAACTTCGTTTGAGATTAAAATGTCCTCGAAAAGTCTGAGATTACAACATATCGAATAAACCAGATATCAGGTCGATCTAGTAGCAAATAAATATATCTGTCGGATAAGAAGTTTAATAACCGATGCTCATTTATATTTTTCTTATGGTCAGCAAAGCTAAACCGCTGACTAAAAATTAATTTTCAACGAATGTAAAATAGACGAACATAAAAAGTGAAACATAAGGACCATTTTGCTAAATCGTCCCGATAACTATCGATTTAACGATTAATTCATAGCCATAATTTCTTGTGTATGTAGGAAGTTTTGACTTCTTAGGAAATAACAGAAACCATGAAAATATTTGGTTAATTATAGCGGAAATAAACGTTATAAACGGAAAAAGCTAATCATAGTAGTTGCGATGTAGATGCTTGTAAAAAGTATGTCTCTAAACGATTTAAAATACAGAGCTATAGAAATAGGGCATTTGGGTCAGTCTGTAACTATAGTTCGATTAATTTTATGATTAATTTATAGAACGCGTAAAGGTTTTTAACCATAATTCAAAGTTTTTAAGGAATTGAAATTATTGAGAACTGTATCTCTACTCAACAGGTTGGCCTACTTGAGTAGAATAGAGACCTAACTTTTACCGTTGACAATATTTAAAATTATGGCCAATGTTTACTGAAACGGTGTAATTTCTTGGACTTAAAAGAAAGTTTCAATGTCATTCCGAAACAGCTCGAAACTCGAAGAAGATCAAATCACAATAATTCTTAAAAGTAGTTAATTAGTCTTCTTATTCTTCTAATTCTTAGAGTTTGTATTCCACTAGGTGTCGATATAAAGGTTTAAAATATCTACCCAAAAAAAAACACAAAAATTCTTCAATGTCTTTTTGTCAACAGATAAAACAAGAATATCCTTGTCATCGTTAATCGTCTTCAAGATTTTCTTTCCCGAAACGTAGCAAACGTCCCGTCTTCCGCTGGAAAATGTTTTCGCTCTTATTTGTGCACCAGGTTCAATATGCTGCTTCAGTTAAGAGTTCCAGAGTTTAATAAATAAAAATATGGACAATTACTCATTTGGAGAACGTTAATTATACAAAACAATTGTTGTTTTGCCTGAGTGTTGCCCAGATATTGGGACTCTTCTTCTCGAAAACGTGACTGCTGACTTTTTTTAAACGGATGTAAAACTATACTTTGTTGCAAAAAATGTAACTTTATGCCCCTATAATGTAAACAATTAACATTCTCAGGGCTAAGTGGCCATTAATTTTAACATTTTAATGTACTAATTTGCAGAACTTTCATGGCTTACATTTAATGTAAAAAATTTTAAAACTTTTAAACTTTTTTTTTAAGTTTCAAAAACTTAAAAACATCCTGTTTAGTGCTTTAATAAAACCTCTATAAAAATATACTAGCAGAATTATTATGGTTATTTTTTTAATTTTAAGTTATTGTAAATGTTCTACTTTGAATATGACCTTATTAATTATATAACCTGAGATATTCGGCATTATGACTACGTGACGCTCTTAGCGTGGGCAAAATCTTCAGTTTGATGATATTTCCCGCAAGTACAAGAATGAGGACTGGAGAAAGTGAGCGAAGAATAATTCAACATGGAGCTATCGCTTAATAACGTATATTAGTAATAGAAAAATATGGTTCCTATTTGCTACTAGAAGTTTAAATTATAAAAATCTAATAAAAACAGTATTATTTGTCAGTCGTCAACAAAGAGCACAAATATTGTAGAATTCCTGTTAAAATTTCAATATTACAGCAATAGTTAGTGGCCAAAGGAATGAACGTATTGAGTTATTCAAAGATGAGGATACCGGCCCTAAAAATGGAAACGGCATATATAACGGTGGGCACATTTTCTTTAGTGGATATCTAGTGTATTTTTGTACACATATTAAAAATCGCCGAATGGAATCGAATGACAAAATCGAAAAAAAAAATATATGGAAAACATTTCTGTTTTTGTTCTCTTTCTGGCAATCCACTGTTTTAATCGGAAGAGTATCGCCGTTTTGCCATTCAAAATGATCAAACAAACATTTAGAAATAGTCCGCAGTATGTTTGTGAAGAAAAATTGATTATAATTAATTGTATAGCTGAAATTCATTCAACGTCGTTTTGTTAAAAAAAATAATTTAATAAATATAATTTACTAAAACTGCTTGCAAAAATTGTGATCAGAAAAGTATTATCAAGAACCCGCTTTTGATATAAGATTTCAAGGAAAAAATGTTTTATCACTAATTTAACAATACTGCTGTAGCCTGGATTGGTGCAATTTGCGATACAAATATGTTTAATAATCGACATTCACAAACAGACAAAGCTACATACGAAAGAAACAAATTCGAAAGTCACAAAAGACGAGAACGGTGAACGATTATATTAGCTTTTTTTGTTTTTCGGCTTCAAAATGTTACTGGACTTGTACTTTTGAAATCGTTCGACACTCGTGTCTTTGGTCACTATATCAATCTTTTGTAGTCGGCATTTGTAGTAAATATATGATTAGCTTATTTGTAATTTTCAGACTAAACACAGGATTCTTCAAGCATCAGCGTAGAATTTTCTCTTTTTAATCATATTTTTAAGTGAATCACTGTAAACACAGTGTGTACTGTTTAAT